AAATTGCTTTAGTTCGTAAGGAATGAGTATTTGGGTCGCGGTATGATTCACACCATACTTTTGAAATTTAATGACTTTGCTATCTCCAAATCAAATATTTATGGCTAGGATGTATACGAACACGAAAGTTCAGATTACTTGGACACCAATCACTTTTTTTATTAGGTACAACGCATCTCGAGAAACCAACCTTCATTTTGCAAAATTATCGATAGATATATACGGGCTTTTATTTTGCATACTCACTTGACATAATAGACTGTCGATGATGGGCGACACAGATTACGTAATTATAGGTCTTTCCTCATAATATCATGCATTCTCTTATCAAAAAACCAAAATACTCGTCAAAGGACGAGTATGAAAGGAATCTTAGTAAATTAATACTAACATAGAGAAATTGGAGGGTTCGCAGTTCTAAAAGTAGACAATTCAGATAACAGAAACTAGTTAATACCGGCAAAAAAGGGGTTTTGTGATTAATTTTTATATCCTTAGAGATTGAATCACTGAAGAAATAATTCTCAGTAAACTAAAACCCCACTTGAGTGATTCAACGCAAAGATATCTTGACTATGTTCACAATAATAGAGATAACAATTCAAAAGTGTGTGTTTTGAACCCGAATCTATACAAATAGTCCTCTAACTGTTTCCAACTTACAATTGATTGATCACTGGGTGGTGATCAATGTCATGCTTGTCTAGTCCTTATTAGTGCAGATCGAATGCTATCGATCATGTTGCAATGTGGCCACCAGTCTAGGTGACTCGACACTGTTTCCAACTAAACAATCTTAAGGGTTTACCATATTACTTCCAAGTAAACGGAATATGCTCATTGAAACAAAAGATAGGTTCGGCTATTAGTTCTCGTTTTGGTGAGATCATTGACAAAGTTGTGCAATCACAAGTATACACTTATTTTTCATTTTTTTATAATCAATATTCTGTTGATGATAACATCGACAGATATGTTAAACATGAAAACAGGTCAAATAGATCAAAAACTAAATTTATTAGCCCAGATATATGTTATTAGCAGATGCCTTCTGTTAAGTGTATTTAAGAACATCACCAACCTCGACTGAAGAGATGGAGACGGTTTGATAAAAGCTCAACAGGCGAACACCTAAAGGACATATGTCATATGAATTAAAGACAGCGACCGAAGTCACTAATAAGCCAAGCAGAGAACTGTCGAAGACAGTAAACCATCATCTTCTTAGCATTACCGGAAGATATGCAATACTGCTGGAAGAAGCCGAACTATGTACAATAAAGGGACCTATCTAGCATATTGTCTCATAGTATTAATGTCTTACTTTATCTAAAATCCATCACACTCCCTTCTACGTGTCTCATGACTTTTTATCGCCAACCGACTCATCTGTTTTCATACTCCTTTTGATCATGGTTCATATCCACTACATTCCACCTAATCACGTGACACAACCTTTCACATTTGTTGATCGTTATCTATCTTCTTGATGAGTACTCACGGTTGCAGCAACTACATCAATAGTTTCCCTATAATATTTATTTCTATTTTACCTGTTAACACTTATGGCAGTTCCATAAATATTGTAAATATTATCGTTACCAGACAATGATCACCGATTTGAAAAATAAGTATATATTTGCGATTGTACAGCTTTGTAAAAAATTTGCCCAAAGAGGAAGTTTCCGCTGAACCAATATCTTATTTTACTGTAATGTACAATATTTATATGGACTTCTTGGTCATACGTGAATAACGAAAAACATTTCGATTGATTGCACATCCAACTACACACTTCTTAAACATATTTACAGTATAACAATTACGGGTGGTTGCAACCTGGCACAGATAATGCAGAACATCACCAAGATAATCTCCCAGAGTAACTAACTTATGTCTTCATCGACTGAGATGGTTGGGCCACGTATTACGTATGCCTGAACACCGATTACCACGACGTGCAATGCTAACCGGGGTAGGGGATGGTTGGAAGAAAGTTAGGGGCGGCCAAACCAAAACGTGGCATCAGTGCCTGAAGTCACTAACTTCTAGTCTGAGCCATGTTGGTAGATGCAGACTACTTGGTTGGGGTCCGCGTGACTTTCGTAACCAATGATTGGAGACTCTTGGTGACATGGCTCAGAATTGATCACAATGGCGTCGGTGTATACACTCCCTGTCTTCCCTTAAACTAAGAGACTAAAATCACTTCATTCTTTCTGTCTACGAACTAATTCTTTCTTCCTATACTATATCCTTATTGCAACCTTTGACCTAACCACTCCTATGAATCCGCTGTTCATCTTGCTGTGCTAATGAGGTATGGCAACCTGGACCGATGCACATATGTCCCTGGTCCTACGTTGTAGCTGACTGACTGAACTAACTTATGTACCACAATTGTATGATTTTTATCGATCCTCCATACCTGTTAAAAGGAATACCCTGTAATTAAGAACTGATGTTCTGAACATACGGTGAAATTTAATATTATCAGTCCTAACAGCTTTTCAAACCAATCCATGTTAAAAATACTTGAATACATAGAGATTTTTGAGACAATAATTAGTTTAAAATGATGCTTTAATAAAATCAGATGTAGCTGCTACCGTTCCTCGAAATTAACATTCTGTTAATATCAATAAACCAAACAAAATAAATCTGAAAAACTCAATGCCGTACCATGGTATTTAGCCTGGAATACAGTCGTATATATCAACGAGAAAACTCAGACCCCGACATATATTAACCAGCGCTCTTCAAAATTTCCAATTAACCACACAGGCCTCCATAAAACTTCGACTAAAAGCTTTTCCTCAGGAACAAACACGGGTGAAATATAAGCAAAGAAACTGTTCTCTTTCAAAGTTCTAGATGCTAATAGATTATACTTATTAGTGGAAACATCTGGAACTGTCTACTGATTTCGTAATTATAATATGGGTTTGTGAACATGATTTACAAATAGTTTATTATACTCTCGACCACCGTTTCGTGTACATCTAAAATATTTATATACACTGTTCGTAGTCTGCATCACCACTATTCTCTAAAAAAATTCCAAGGCATAGCATAAATATCTAAAGTTCATAGACAAGTAAAACCTATTCTAACAACACGGTAATACTGGCAATACAATACTAACTTTCTTTCTATTTCTTCGAATCGACCTTCAGATTTCCCATCAGATTTGTAACAAGCTTGTAAGCTATTTCTTTTATTTGAAGGCTGATTCATAGATAAAGTGGTCGTTAGCGGTTTGATCTGTGATTTGTAAAAATAATCCTGGTGCATACGAAATCTTAATACAATTTTTTCACACTAATCTTTAAGAGCTACTTATAGGACATTTATACTAAACATCGCGCCAATAAGGCGAATCGCCTGGATAACCAATCAGAGATTAAGGAACAGACAAGTCTAATTAACAACAATGTTAGTTATAACGAAGTTTAAGAGGTGGAGTAACAAAATTCCTAATTTTACAGTGGTCTAGTTTCGACTTGTTTAAATGTGAAGTGGAAAAGTCAGCGTCTTTCGCACTGTTTATTCTCACTTTGGAGGTCTAAATAAGGCAAGACCATTACGATCAGAGCTACTAAATTTCCTCCTAAACACAACTGGACATTACGAATATCAACATTCTTGATATGGACGGAATCCAAACAGACTGTATACTCCACTTTGACTCCAACATTCGGGCCAAAATCACAACCAGTAAATAATGAATGTGAATTCGCAACAATTTGAACTAACGGAATTCCGTTTAACGGCTTAGTTATGCGAGTGAAGTGTTACTTCGGAATGTTTCTAAAACTAACTTCGCTAAAATACTGCGATTTTGAACAAACATATGTACTAGAACTCAGGAGTCTTTGGTACTAAGTCGATTTTCGTGCTTCTCAACAATCGTATGACACAATTTTGATAAGAATAATAATAACCTTCCTAATTTTCTACATTTGGATTGATAATCGTGTGATTTACGAGGTGACTAGAAAATCCAGCTTGCTAGTACTGACAGTGATCTTTAAACAAAGACCAATCCGAATTTCAAGAAAATCGCACACGTATAATCCTTTATTGTGTTATTTTTTATACGTTCAACTCTAAATGTCACTCAAAGCGCTTCACAAACAACAAGATCCTAAGTCAATCGACGTTAATGGTGCTACCTTCAATACATCAAACCAGCTTTCAGGAGTGAAAGGATTGTTTTGAAATACCCACACATCTTTCATTTTTCAAAGCAAACAACTTACAGAAATCCGGCACTTTCACATTAGATTTCAGCCACCTGATTGCTGAGTAGAAGTCCCAATTTATCGAGAAAAACATGGAGAAGGAACCTGTATTCACAATAAAAGATGTAAGCCAATATAATGAAAGGATGGCAATAATTTGAAACGAGCTAGATTGTAAACTGACAGTGGCCTATGCTTAAGATAAACATACACTGGTCTTACGTAACAAGAGCTCAGGTGAAACCAACCCTTAGCTTGTATTTAATTTTCTAGCAAAATGTTATTTACAAGGTTTAACATGACGGTTAATCAATACTACTGGAAACAATTATGGCAGGAACGATAAAAAAAGAGCAGTACCATTTGTGTGCAGCGTGACTTTATGGCTATTAGGCACCAAAAAGTCGGGAATTTTAAAGACATAGGTACATGTAGAACTAACACACTATATATTGAACTCGAATTGATATCACCTAAGAGATGAAGATAATCTTTTTAGTGAATAATTACAGGCCCTCGGGTTTACAGCTAGTTTCCAGGCGCCTGAGGTAACAAATAATAATGTTGAATCTAATATTACTTAATAACACGGGTTGAATAATAATCCCCGATACGTACATGACTATTGTTGATTACCGCGATGTGGGGAAGTTAAGGTTATAAAAGTGGCCAAAAATACCATCGTTCATATACCAGTAATCTATTTAGAAACTCGGATAATTTTGACGCGAAGTTAGCGTCGAAGTAACTTCTAACTTAGAAATGAAAGTCACCATCTTGTCCTGAAGCTCCATCGGGAGCAATAAACTGGAATTCTTGTTCTGAACTTGGAGGAAAAGTCTCACTATTCTCTGTGCCATCAGCAGCCACGACTTTGCTTTCGTTTTCATCATCCTGAAAAGAAGAGTAAAGCTGTCAAAATATATTATCGATAATAATTCGCAGTTTTTTAAACTGCGCCGAGTGAACAAGCAATCCCGCTATGAAAATAAAATGAGCGTTGAAGATGAAACAACTGTTCCAAATGCAGACAGTTTTGATATACTAAGTTGATAGTGTTTCACGGAATTATAGTAAGCAATGGTCTGAAACAATAGCAAGCACACCCCCATGATGCTATAAATGAAGTAGATCGCAAACAAACACTTTTATATAATCACTTTTATCCAACACACATCTTAATATTTCTTGTTACTTATATTTTAAGAATGATCGTATGTTGAGATTAGTGAACCTTGAAGCAACATGAAGGTAGTGATTACACTTCGAAGAATCACTTTAATGATCAAATATCACTGGTAAAAAATTCCGACCACTCTTTGAGATCAGTTACACGCACACAGCGTTTGGTTCCCATGTATAACTGACTAAAAGTTCACAGCTTACTGTTCCTTCTGCCACAACCGCAGTTCCTCTAGGCATTCAGACAATTAGAATTTACAGATTATTGGATTTCACTGTATACTTGAATGCTACAATCCACTCAGAAAGTTACGCTATTTATATTGATATGAATATTAAAAAACATGCACTAGGCTTTACCAAAAGAGGCTTGTAGAAACCTGAAACTCAAATATACTATAAAGTCGACTGCAGAAAAATCGGTCTTAACTACGAACTGCTAGTTTGCGATACCTGATGACTTAATAAATGGACACGAACGTTTCAAAAACATTAAATGTGTAACAAGGAAAGCACCAACCTACCGCATCATTGAAGTACTTTTCAATTAAATCGTAAGCAACTTGATAGACTTGAACGTTAGTGTGGTCTTGCAATTCTTCCAACTTATCCAAGCCCCCACATGTCTCTAACTCGATACAAGCTGGTTCTAATTGCCCATACTGATCAGAAATCTTGGACAGAAAATGAATATTTCATGTGAAAATTTAAATTCCAGGTTTAATAAAAAACATGAAGCGCTGACAAAAACTTTGGAGATACCCCCAGAAAGATAAAAGAAATAACAGTTGGAATCGAATTACACAGTCATCAAAAATATTCGAAACATACCTCTAGGAGTTTTTTTATTCCCTCTAAAACCATAAGTACAACCTTTGACTCTGAGACTGTAAGTATATTGCAAAGTGCTTTCAATACATTTTGGTTCAACAAATATGCACATTGTGCCGGGGTCCCACCGCTAATAAAATTACTGATAACCCAGCACGCTTCTTTTTGAGTTCTGAATTCACCCTGTAAAACAAACACGAACACGTAAGAATGAAGGTGTAAGTATGTAGAGCTTACAGTAGTGGTATGAACCGGAATGTCAAGTGAATTATAAGCTTTGTAAACCCTTGGACACATGAGCATCGGTCCATGTTGCTACGTCGCATCAACAGACGGAGCTGTTAAGTAAATGTCAAAGTAATAATAATATCAAAACGGGAGCAAAAATTATGAGTCCGAGGACGAGTTTGATGAGGAATTCGCGGAACGATTTTGAAACTGAGGAAAACGGTTAATATCTGACTGTGATGCATTCTGAAAGTAATAACATTCACCAAGCATTTGGGTATGAAATGCATTGTCAGGTTTGACCATATAACGCAGTTGCCCGAACCGAAATATCCATAACCGGACGAAAACCTACGGTTCATGGGCGCAAGTTGAGTGTCCTAACCGCCGAGTCATTTGCAAACACTGTATGTAATAATGATACAGTCCGAACAGATGGCTTAGATACAGTTGATAATTTTAATAAACACTCCGCTTTTTAGGCGTTAATGACTACAATCCGGACGTTTTTTATTTAAAGCAGAAACTCACACAAACATCCTGGCGTTGTAGCCAAGAACGACCATAAAATTAGTTTTGTCAACCTCTATACTTACTCATTAAATCCCAGTATTGACCCATAAACCTGAATGATTACGTAGTAATCAAGTAGAGTGCTTAAAAATCATGTTTAAGCTATTTCTTAATTGGATGTTTTCAAATATTTAGTACACAAAAAACAGACTTCGGAAGTTTGTGCATAGATGTCTAAATTATTTAAGCGACACTGATTCATGAGCTAATCGACTCATTACTACAGCCATCAAATGACTGCTTCTTTGATCTGAAGAAGTTATATTAAAACTTCACATGTACACAGAATAACGATATGATAAAAACTACTGACCAAACAAAAGTATAACCAGGATTTCGGGTGTTAAAACTAATTTAAGCCACTATAGACGCTCATGGTCAAAATTGAGGAGCTTTAAGACGATAGATTAAGTAGGTTTTAAAATGAATTTCGAAATAAAATATCGACGGGTCGGTATTACCTTGTAAAAGATCTCCAAAATGCATGGCATGATGTTGTGACTTATAACCATGTCAATTTGATCTACACTTCCGGCGGTAATGTTACTCACTACCCAACAGGCTTCTTTGACGACAGTAGACTTTTCATTGTTTAGCAATGCAGGGATGTAAGTTAGTAGACCAGCATCCAGAATAGCTTGTGTTTGTTCATCAGTACCGATAACAAGATTACCAATGGCTCTGAGAGAGGGAGAAATGAGATTCGCCTAATCCGTTATAAAATGTTGAAATTGAACATACCGATGATGATGCCAACAGTCGCAGGAGTAACGGGACACATCCACTTTCTATTATATCATCGATAAATTCATTTACGGCATCACTTGCGTATGAAAGAGCCCATGCAGTATCCACAACCACATTCTTATTACCCTCATACTGAAGAAGTCGATTGAGATAAGGCAGAAGCTTTTTAATGACGGCACGTGGCGGAGGAGGATCTCGGTTTCGACAGAGATTAGACAACATCCAGGCAATATTTGATACCACGGTGGGCTGCTTCCAAACTCGATCTAGAAGTCTTCGGGAAATATTTAGTTACGGTTTCACGTACTTTAACACTGGTTCAACAACTCCGCTCTCGATAACTATATCTCGAAATTTGGATCCATCTCCAGCAATATTACTTAGAGCCCATACACTTTGCTCAGCTATATTGACAGCAGAATGACTTAACAGCCGTACCAGTTTTGGGACAGTACCAGAGGAGACTACGGCTGCTGTATGAGAGCTATCACCGGAGGCAATGTTTGTGAGTGCCCATGCAGCCTCGAAAACAAGATCATCGCTACTATTTGAAGGGATATTAATTTAACTTACTGAGTGGAACTGAGGGATGAACCAAGGATGTCGACAGCACCCCTTTTATAAAACTCGTCTATTGGAGGGTTCTTTGCGCGTGATAGGGTTTTTCTACAGAGCTGAACTGCTTTGAATCGAGCGACTCGATCACTTGATTGCATATCACGGATAACTGCATCGTAGTTAACGTGTTCAGGGGTATCAATTTGCTTTTCTTTTAAGGGTGAGGTTTCATCTAGTTCAGTCAACAGTATGTTTCTTCGCTTCTGAAGCTGTTCATCCTTCTTAGCTTTGCGAAGTTCAACAGACTGATCAGTACGACGCCTCCGAAGTTCCTAAATTCGACATTTGAATATCTAAAACCTTACCTCAGAGTCCTTGTCTTTGTTTTTATATAGCCTAGATCGTTCCATCACGTCAGTCAAATTACCAGACTTGACAGCCAACAAGGAATAGGAGTCCGAATAAACAATTGCAGCATACAAGTTATCAAGTTCAAAAAGCCGTTAAATACTCAATGTCTCTTTCCTTACGAAATGTTCGCATTCATTCTCATCTCATACAAGATTCTGACCAAATATATATATATTTGGCTGATCTGTGACTAGTAGAATTTACTCCATCAGTTAACAATCTTAGATTGCATATTGCATTTATTGTAACTATAATCATGTTTCAGATGCTTACCAGTGTCTGATAATCAGAAAAATATACTTTTCAATTACCAGCCTAGTTCATGTTGAACAGAATGTACCGGGAGGTTATTTCATTATAACTCGAAAATCTGGAATATTTCAACTTAAAATGAGGGAGTGCAACAAATTATTTGACTCATAACTGCTAAGGCAAACTCTTACCATTACGATTTTGACTGAAATTAATCATTTGGTTTCCGATGTATCACGTCGTCTCAAATACACATTCCCTACGCAAATGAAGGCTCTAGTTGTCTGATGAACATTTAGTTGGTTGACCACCCAATCCATCTTTTTGAGGCGTTAGACTTACAACCTGATTTTGGTTATGTGTATTATCGCAACTGACTATTCATCATTTCAGTCAAAAACTTGTGGAATTTCGAGATAAACTCTCGGTTTAATTTTCAGGAATTGACTGAATAAATGTTTAATTCTTTGGATTTCTTAGAGGAGCTGTAAACCATTTGTCCAAGTTATTGTTAGTTTCTGTAATTTCCTGCTTGTCTCTGTCAAGAAATGAGTGTATCAGTATGTGAGCCTCACTAGACTTGTTATTTACCACAATTCTTGTTAACTCAATGTTACAAAATAGACGTTAGAAGGAAAAATTTGTTGTAGAAACTATACCATAAGCCATTATGAAGTCTTCGACGGTCTCTTTTATGATAGATAATCAACAATAGTAGCAGAGAGCGCATTTATATGTCAAGCGTGACGTTATTTAGCACTGATCATAGTGTGATTAAACAAAGCCCCTCCGATTTATCAAAACGTATGTACTGGTGTTCCCATCAGTTCCTATAGCATAGCCACAGAGGTGACCAGTCAACCCCAATTTTTCACAAACGGTTGTGTAAAAATCACAAACTAAGACATAATAATGCATCCTACGGCGAGATTGCTAAGATCAACATCTTGGCTTGATTATCTGACGTCAGTACTTCACTAAACAACAGATATTTCATTTCAGCCAACATGTTCCTCGTTAGTGATAGACACAAGCTACGAAAAGTAGAGAAAATAGCATCACTAGACCAGTTCTTCAAAAACGCCGTCCGCTAGGAGACAGTCGTGAAAATAATTATATTACACTATCTTCAGCAGTTGTGACAAGTGATTAGGCATCTACTGAAGCAGTTGGGTCCATTGCTACAGTGCTACTGAAGTACCCAAACAATACTGAAGGTTTATATAGAGAGATCGGCGACCGCAGCTGAAATACATAATTCCGAGATGTATAAAAAGTCTCCCAACCAAATGGATGAAAATCAAAACTAAGGCTTCACATACAAATCGCAACCGCACGCATAACGTACATGATGAATGATGAAAGTTTGGCCAAGAAAGTCGTTTACAGAATATCTGGTACGGTCCAAATGGATCCTAACATACTGGTAGGTTTACCTAAAGGGATTATCAGACTGTTTATATTCACCAGTAATGGACGTTGAGTAAGATTAGCATGTGGCTATCAAGGAGCTCAATAATAACAATAATTTACTCTTGAATCACAATAAGCTACTTAATGTACACCAATTAACAGGTGAAAACAGAATGTTACAAATGATACGAGATTTATAGAAACAGATCTCTTAGTTGAGGCGATATTTCGGAAGACATTCGTAATAGAGATAAGAGAGTATTCAAGTGCATACGAATATAAATAGCGCTAGTAAAATTCGAATACACAATGTGAGAATCGGCGCGTCATATAGAAGCGGCTACGAGACGATAAACTGGAGGATTATAGATAGTACAAATCAGATTCAGTGCTTTTATAGATAATATGAAAACAATATAATACATTAGTTAAAAACGCCACGTTTTACACAGTACTTGGTACTTCTTGTCGGTATTCTCCAGATAACATACAACAGGCTTCTTAATCGCATACATACATACGCCTGTTGCACCCAATGAAGCGTAGGCCGCCGACCAGTATTCCCCAACCCACGCTGTCCTGGTCCTTCCTTTCTAGTTCCATCCAATTGTTGTTCATTCTTCTTATGTCTGTTTCCATTTCCCGACGTAATGTGTTCCGTGGTCTTCCACTCTTCCTTTGGCCTTGAGGATTCCACGTGACGGATTGCCTTGTGACGCAGTTGGGTGCTTTCCTCAATGTGTGTCCTATCCACTTCCAGCGCTTCTTCCTGATTTCTTCTTCCACTGGGATCTGGTTTATTCTCTCCCACAGTATGTTGTTGCTTATAGTGTCTGGCCAATATATCGCAAGTATTTTGCGTAGACAACTGTTAATAAACACCTGTATCTTATGGATGATGGCTTTCGTAGTTCTCCAGGTTTCCACCCCATACAGTAGAACTGTTTTGACGTTTGTATTGAAAATTCTGACCTTGGTGTTGGTCGACAGTTGTTTTGAGTTCCAGATGTTCTTCAGTTGTAAATATGCTGCTCTTGCTTTGCTGATCCGCGCCTTCACATGTGCATCAGATCCACTGTGTTCATCGATGATGTTGCCCAGATATGTAAAGGTTTTTACATCTTCCAAATCTTCTACATCAAGTTTGATTGGATTGGTGCATGTTGTGTTGAAACCTACTGTTGCTGAGGCTGCTGCCACACTGGTCGTCTTCTCCTGCATTTGTTGTTGCGTGTGCGGTAAAAGAGCCAGATCATCTGTGAAGTTTAGGTCATTCAACTGCATCCTGGATGCTCACTGTATCCTATGCTTCCTCTCAGATATTGACGTCTTCATGATCTAGTCGATCCCTAGGAGGAAGAAAAAGGGTAAGAATAAGCAACCTTACCTGACACTGGTTTTTACTTCGAACGAGTTTGTCAACTGTCCTCCATGCACGATTTTGCAGTTTAATCCATCATATGAGCTCTGTATGATATTGACTATCTTTTGAGGCACTCCGTAGTGTCGAAGAAGCTTCCGGAGTGTTGTTCTGTCCACGCTATCAAATGCCTTTTCGTAGTCAATGAAGTTGATGTAGATTGATGAATTCCATTCAATTGATTGTTCCACAATGATCCGTAGAGTTGCGATCTGGTCTGTACACGATCTATCCTTACGGAATCCAGCCTGTTGGTCTCGAAGCTAGGCGTCTACAAAATCCTTCATTCTGTTTAACAAAACCGTTTCGAAGACTTTCTCCGATATTGAGATAAGAGTGATGCCCCTGTAGTTATCACACTTGCTGAGATCGCCTTTCTTTGGTTTCTTGACCAGGTGTTCCTCTTTCCAGTCTGTTGGTAACTGTTCTTCATCCCGAATCTTGCTGAAGAGAATGTGGAGTGTCTCTGCAGTAACGCCACGTCTGCTTTCAGTGTCTCTGCTGGAATGTTGTCTGGTCCTGCTGCTTTGCCACTCTTCGTTTGTTTGATGGCAACGCTGATCTCTTCAATTGTTGGAAGGTCCGTGGGTGCTGCTTCGATGTTGGGTGTGTTCGGTGGGGCTGGTCAATTTAAGAGCCTTTTGAAGTGTTCTACCCACCTGTTTCGCTGTTCTTCAATGTTGGTGATTACCTTGCCTTCCTTGCTTTTCACTGGTCGTTCTGGTTTGTGGCGATTTCCAGAGAGTTTCTCTGTTGTGTCATACAGTTGTCTCACGTTTCCTTCTCTTGCAGCCTTTCCCGTCGTCATTGCTAAACCATCCACATATTTTCGTTTATCGGTTCTGACGCTCCTCTTCACTTGCTTGTTTACTTCTCTGTATTCAGCTTGTGCCATGGCTTTCTCTGCTTTGTTCGGCTGGTATTGATAGCTACCTTCATGTTCCTCCTTTCTTGTGGCCTATCCAATGTATCAACAGTGATCCATTCGTTGTGATGCTGCTTCTTGTGGCCCAGAACCTCATGAAATGTTGAAGTTATTGCTCTTTGATTCCCTTCCAGTTGCTCTCCGTAGTAGTTCCCCCTTCATTGAGTAGATCATGATAGGCCTGTAACCTATTGCTGGGGACTATCTTGACTTTGTTGAGTTTGTCAATATCTCGAAGAAAAGCCGTACTAAACTTTTTTGCTGTTGTCCGCCTCGTTGTCCGGTACTTCTTGAGTTTCAATTTCATTCTGATGACCAGCAAGTGATGATCTGATGCTATATCAGCTCCCCTCTTGAACTTTTTGCTGATGCAGATATGGTCGATTTGGTTCTTCGTAGTGTGATCCGGTGAAGTTCATGCGGTTTTGTGTATGCGTTTGTGTGGGAATATGGTGCCGCCTACGACCAGTTTGTTGAAGGCACATAGGTTTGCAAATCCCTCACCATTCACGTTTCTTTCTCCTGTTCCATGTCGTTCCATGATGTCTTCATATCTGGTGTTCTTCATTCCAACCTTGGTGTTTAAGTCTCCCATCAGAATGGTCAGGTCCTTTGTTGGGCACTTCTCGATGATTGACTGCAGCCTATCGTTGAATTGATCTTTAGCGTCTTCATTGTAGTCGTTGGTAGGCGCATAGCACTGGATGACGTTCGTTGAAATGCTCTCTTTCCTTGTTTTGAAGTAGGCTTTGATGATACTTGGTCCATGTTATTCCCATGGCCGGAGTACAATAGAGGCTCCCCTGAAGCTAGCCGTTGTTTTTCAACTTGTGTCCATTGTGTTTCACTGATCCCAAGCACTTCTAGGTGGTATCTTCTCATTTATGAAGCAATTTGTAAGACTCTCCCAGTCCCCCACATTGTACGAGCATTCCATGTACCTAAATAAATGGTTGCTTCGATTGTCAAAAGGGCATTGGCCTTGTGGT